GTGGTACAAACTTTGGGTTCTGGAATGGAGCCGAATATGCAGCAGGGGTTAGGCAACTTGTAGTTGCTATCGTCGCGGTTCATCGAGGTGGGATCAGGAAGGCAAAGTGACTCCGCCTTCGGTTGCCTCTCCGTTCGTGATTAGTCAGTGATCGTGATCAGTCAGTGATCGATTTAGGAAGAAAATAGTCAATGGTGAAAACGCGCCTGATAGGCCCATTTCGTACCTCTTGACACCACCTCGACTGATTGCGGCGAAATGAACGCCAAAGGTAGCAGTAAGCAGTTGTCCTTGTTTACTCATAAGATTGCAGCTTATCACTTCCTATGATTACTTTGCACCGATGACCGAGAACGGAGGCTACAATGACAAGTATACCGCAATTCGAGACTTCATTTCTGGGATCAAAGACTGGCCAAATCCTCCAAAACCACTGCCTCCAAAGCCCATGTGAGTGATCAGAATATTGGGACGAAAAAGCTGTATTCTTGCCGACTCACTGAAAAAAAACTGTCCACTCACTTCCGTGGACCGCGGTCCTTGCCACGTGCGAAGTGAATGGATACGCAGCTACAGTGCGTGCCACTTTCTTCGCTCAAAAGTACACGTTAACAGGGCTGGATGGTAGTGGTACCCGGTGCCATCTCCATACTCCACTCGACCAGCTGCATGGCTGGCCACACGTCTAAGGTTGCGTTTATACTTTGCGTCAGCGTCCATCAGCGAGCACCAGCCTTCACTAGCGACCATCAATGTCTCTGGGTGCTAGGAAAGTGTGGATATCGATCTAGCGAACGACAGCGTCTACCAGCGTCTACCAGCGTCCACCGCGACCAGTTCTACTACTCTCGTATCCTACATCAGCAGTCTGTTACTCTCCTACTTCCCCATACTTCTGCTCGCTGGTGGACGCAGGTTGATGCTATGAGATGCTAACGCTGACCTATACTTTCCTATCTACTGACGCTGCTGAACACTCGAAACGCTGGTGGTCGCTGGTGGACGCTGTTGCAAAGTATGAACGCAGTCCAAACATAGTCGAACTGATGTCTTCGCTCTCTCATTTCTGATTGTACTCTATCGCTGAGTATGTTTCGTTGGGACACAAAACTGT